TTTTTGTTCTCCCAAACAGTTCTACTTTTTACTTTGAAGTTACAAACCTTTCCCTTCTCGTTTCAGCTATTATACCCCAAGAATCGGGTGCCGCCTCCTTCTCCCCCTCCCCCGCCTCTGCCTCGATCCAACCCCTATCACAGACACATCCCGCCACCGCCACCACCACCACAACAAAATCAGGTCAGATAGAAACCAAGTTGTTGTAGTTGTTGTAAGGTAATAAACAAATGTAAAAGCGGTTTTTCCTGAACGAAGTTTACTGAAGCATTCTCATGATCTGGCTCGTTGTTTATAAGTTGTGTAGACTTTTAAAGTATAAAATTCCTAACATCGTTTATTGTGTTGTCGACTCATGCATTAAAAAGTTTTAGGCGTATATCATTAAACTCTACAAAAACCTTACGAGGCCAAACTGTGGCCTGTATATCCTAACGGTGAATAGTACCGTCGACAAGATACTTCACTAATTATTATCTTTAGTTCTGTAAATCCAAAAAACGAACTCATAGTTTTAATAGGATGGCCTTACTGTATATTAGAAAGATTGACTATTTTATACGCGTTATTTATTTTTTTGGATTCGTCTTCTCACTATTGAAAGGAAATTACAGCACATGCGGAATGCATACACAAGTAAACAATCAAGCGAGTGTAGCACGCATATTACTTGCAGGTTTTTTTGGAATGTTTTTTTAACCTCGATAAATAAAATTATCCTCGACGCTAAAACCAGCAAATACAATAAGAAAATGTCTACAACATCAGATGCAAATGTTACTTCACAAAACAAAATGAATCCCACAGCTACAGCACCACAAAAATTACATCACCTGTAGAAAAATCACCCTTTATCTTCAGTACCACAAAATTATAGTAACACATTAGCAATTACAGAACACACTTCTCAAGGTCTTAGCTATCCACAAAGCCCGGTATCTCATGTTGGACTCCACAAGTCAACTATTGATGACACATATTAGCAGATTTTAGAAAAACTACATACAACAATTTTTCAATCTCAAAACAACCATCATTTTAGCACACGGTGAGCTGACATGTTGCATACCTTAACTGTTTCCTTTCCTAACCATCCAACCTTCAACGCCACTCCTCCCGCATTTTGCTTTCAGACCTGACTTTTTCTTCCCTATCCACCTTTTCAACCCACTCACCACGCACAGATTCAGATCATTCGAGACAAACTATTTTAACACTAGTTCTAAGTTGAACAATTCCGTTGTTGAATTTCCCGATGAATTCCTAGACTTAGAACCTAGCCCATCTTCTTTTCCAGAGCCACCTTTCAAACCCCTCACCCCTTAACTTCCAAATGAAACCTCTCCAGCCTCTCTTTCCTATTCTGACGTCACACTTATTCTTTCCCCGATGACCAGCGATCAACCTGACCCATCTAGCCCAATGACAGATATCCAGCTAGAGCATGAGTTAGACAATTTTATAACACTACAACAGCACATTCATAAGACAGACACCCTAACAATTCACCAAATAAAACACTCTACATCAACCTCAGAATCCTCATTTCCACCAGCAAATGCAGAACCTACACGAGCCCATAAAAATTTTAAATGCAAACGCCACAACGCCCCACCCCAACACCTGATCAGCCGTCCTTGATCATTCCGACTATTTTGCCTGCACCCATAACATACTAACACTAAAGAATTTTTAGTTTATAACGTGCCATTTTTCCCACAATATACTTAAATCACAACCAATAACGACAACCAACTCAATTTCGTTGATGAATATAGCCTGTTTCCCACACCTTCTTGGGCCCCATACTATAATTTTACAAACCCATTGACACTTCCCTTATACAAAAACCCCGAAGGCCACGAATTATGCCAATCACGCATCCACAAACTAACAACTGCACTTCACCAGACTCGCACAAAACCAAACACTTAACAGATTCATAGCACAACGCACAAATAGATTCTAAACCAACCACTACAATCACGCGATGAAACGTTACATTGAAGATACCCCAAATGAGGACGATCCTAATATTAACCCACATCTAACAGAAAACTTCTTTAATAAATCCGAATATGTAATTCGCATAGATAGTACTAAGAGATTATTCGATAACACCATCGCTAAAGCACTACAAAACATTAAAGCATACGAGTCAATTTTTATACATTTACTTACTTTGCACTAAATTTTCACTTCCCTACACCTAAGGAACGTGACATACACTCTTCGAATGAAATCATGTTACGAAAAAAATTAACATAGACATATACATATTACAAGTTCATATTTCATACAACATCACTATACATCTATATTACAACACTCAACCCACGATACAGATTTACATTCATTAACTCAAAATACACTGCACCATACTTCCGCCGTTTCTTCTACAGTTTTTTCTACACTTTAATTATTGTATAAAAAAACGAATGTCCACGGCATCTTCCATAATCATGATCCCATCCGCCAAATGTATATATTCCGCCCACTAACCAAATCCTTTGATGCTGGTGACTCCCGCCCACTAATTGTCTCCCACGAAAATATACAGCTCATTGAAGAGACCATACTAGAATATATCCATAAAACTGTATATAATCACAAATTGTAGAATTTAATTCGAAACCCACGTCACGAATTCTCACGTTATATTGATGAAATAAACACTATTAGAGCTTCAAAGTAAAAAGTTCATCCACATGCTTGCGAAACTCTTCACATCATCAGACACAATCCGCACTTTTTTCCCAATGAATTTTTCACTGATGACAACCCTCCGTAAGCATGCACTAAATAATTCAACTAATAAATGACTCAAAACACTCATCATTCTTTATAAATTTTTCTTTTTCCTGTTTTAGATTTCACCGATCAGTCACCTCAAAAATTCCAAAAAAAACTCACTCTTTTAAAGCTTTTCAATTGCTATTTAACAATGACATTGAATTAATAACGCAGTAAAATCCAGTACGACAGCAGTATAATAATAACTCAGCAGTAACATTCAGATAATTAAAGCAGTATATTCATAAAATTGCAAATAAATTGAATGAAAACTAACCTCTTTATGCGACGCTTTTTTGTAAATTTTTAGTGATTTTTCACTCGCCTACATTTCACACACTCTTTTCACCAATTCGCACAAACTTGCCCACGAAGAATTGTTTAATAAATGAACTTCAAGTTTCGAATCTAAATGATAACAACTCTAACTTCTTTACACACGTTTCAAACTTTAATTTAACCCGGTTGGAAGGAATTATAAGAGTAAGCTTAAACTGACGAACGCGGCTTAATAACGCCACAAAACCATAAAACTTATAGCTTGAATAAGAAAGAAAGCCACACGGTACCAAACCGCAATAATCCTGAGATAAAAACTGGACATATTATTCTTTTGAAACTCACTTTCAGCTTCTATTGAAACCAAATAAAAACACTAAAAGTCAAAACGAAAATCTAAAACACAATAATCAGCTTTGAGAAAAGAATACAACCAAAACAAAAAAAAAACAAAAAAGAGAAAAACACCTGAAAAATTAAACAAAAGGTTAAACACAATAAGAGACTCTGCCCAAAAAGACGGTGAAAATGTAATCCATTCTGGTCTCATCACCCAGAACGATGTCGCTCAAAGTTCTTGCCCCCACCATGTGCTACGACCCCGATATGTTTTTTTTTGATAAGAGTGGTTCCAGGTTGAGCAACTCTTTAAAAAACCGAACTAAATAAAAAACTTTGCGAAAACAACTAATTAAAAATTATAACTTAAAACTGACCTTACTAACAAGATGTAGTCGAAATTTTTAACAAGATGTAATCGAGACATTTAAATGCAATGTACAAAATTTTTTAGAGCCAGAGAAACGAGCAGCGAAGGAGATAAAAACTCGATTGTTTTCCAACTCTGGAATGGCAAATCTATTGGTTTGTTGCCGTAGTCATTACCCTGAAAGGATTTAAATTATGGACTAGACATTGCAGCAAAGGCAACCATTGAAATAGACCAATGGTCAACAGGATGTTGATCTCGCATACTGATTCTAGTCACTTGGCATTTCACACGGAAAAGTTAACTTCATCTTGCACGTAGTCTTGCTCTAAGCTTAACGAAATCGACACATCATTGCGTCGATCTTGATTTTTGAAACAATCACTCAAGACGACCCACGATCAAACGAGACCCAATTTTGGAACACGAACAGCTGTTCGTCTCTTTTCAACACAAACAACTACATCTCTCCTCTCTTGACGAAGTCACTGCTCCAACTACGCAAAAGAAAACTACCTCAAAGACTAAGAAACAAATCTATCCGTCCTTCGCTACAATAAACAACTTAAAAACTAAGAAATTCTAAACCCCGGATGGGCGGAACCAGTTCTGGACTAGTATTTACAAATCAATTATAATTTTGATAAAACTATCTTAGTTAGTAATATAAAATATTACTAACCAACCAATCATCTCTAACCTTGACACTTATTTGTAAGCGCTGAAACTACTTGTAGTTTCAGCAGCAGAACAATTTGAATAATTCTTAGACTACAATTGTTCTCTTTCTGAATAAACTCCAAGAACTAACTCGCAAAAACCAGTATACACTAGATCTATTGAGACTAGCAGATATAAGATTAAAATTGATGTTGGACTAAGAAGTTGCACAAACCTATCCGGCGCAAAATAAGATAGCGTGACGAACAAACGGTGTGCCTTATCTGAAATTACTCTATGAGAAAACTACTTCTGGCTTAAACTCAATTTAAATCTGGTTTGTACACTTATGATAGCAAGAGGGCATTGCAACCGTGCACTAGACCTTTTTCCCTAAATAACTTTGCTTACAGGACTCAACTCCTGGTCTCCTCTAATAGAATTATTTCAGACAGTAAATACCATAGGGTGTGGGATACTGTTCTGTTTTTTTTTTTTAATTCCCCAACCAGTTCTATTTTTTACTTTGAAGTTACAAACCTTTCCCTTCCCGTTCCAGCTACAATACCCCGAGAATCGGGTGCCACCCCCGAGTCTGCCTCGATCCAACCACTATCACAGACGTATCCCGCCACCGCCACCACCACCACAAGAACCAGGTCAGATAGAAACCAAGTTGTTGTAAGGTGCTAAACAGATGTAAAAGCGGTTTTTCCTGAAGGAATTTTACTGAAGCAAAACCCGGAAACGGACATCCGGAACCGTATTGGTAGAGTTAGTTGGTAGGGTTAAAGACTCCGGTGCCGACTCCATCTTCATTAATAACAGTGGAGAACAAACTGCTTAATTAATCGTTAATTCCGCTATCTAAGCGTCATTTGAATTATTATCAGTAATACAATGAAGAAAATCAGAGCTTTTGCTCTATTTCTGCATTCTCTTTTGGCAAACTATGCACTTGCGGGGTCGAGGTGCTGGACTTATGGAACATACCCGATTTAAGTCGAGAAAGTCAAAACATAGGTTGAGAATTTCAAAACATGCCAATTTTTGGTCGTGAAATTCGAAACATAGGTCGTACACAGACAAAACATAGGTCGAACACGGTCGAAACGTAAATCAGGCATAGTCGAAACATGCATGTATTTGCCATTTATGTAGGTTCTAACTTTTTTCCTTTTTATAAAAGTTTCCATCGGCTTGACACATCTTTTCTTCGAGTAGTAAAAAAACTACCCCGATCTGTGACCAGCATTCTCATGATCTGCCTCGTTGTTTATAAATTGTGTAGACTTTTAATGTATAAATTGCCTTAGATCGTTTAATGTATTGTCGACCCATGCATTAAAAGGTCTTAAGCGTAATTCATTAAATTCTACAAAATCATTACGAAGCCAAACTGTGCACTGGATAGGTGACTGTTTTGTGTCTGTATGTTCCTGGATTCCATAGACAAACCTTCGAACAAGCTCCAAAACTGTAAGTGAAACCCGCAAAACTTGTGACTACCTATATAATTATATGTGAACGGAATCCGCAAACAAAATACGGATTCTACTCACAATTTGCAGTTTCCAATAACAAATGCGGGTTCCGCTTACAAATGCAGATTCGGCAACAGCTCACTTTGACTATACACAGGTCTTTTTATTTGTTTGTGGATTGCACAAACTCTTCTAGATTCCGCAAATACGGTTGCGGAATCCGCAGAGTCGCCTTTTTTGAAGCAACTTTGAGCGGTACAGTACAGCGTTTCAGGCATAGATTCGTGGAATCCAAAACAGCAAAAAATATCAAATAAAATTTGCAATGCCAGGGATTTTGTGACAAATCTGATTTCGGCATGTGGAGGATTCCACTTACAATGCACAAAATTTACAGTTTGGATGCGTAATGATTTATAAACAACGAGGCAGCTCATGAGAGTGCTGGTCACAGATCGGAGTGGTTTTAACTGACGTTTTTAGACAACAGATATGTTCGATAAGACGCCAGATAAAAGATACGGTTCAGCATTTTGTATTTTGATATTGGTTTAAATATCTGATTAATTCAATCAAAGTTGAATCAATTTATCAAAATGTCACCGTTATTTGGATTTTTCAGAATTGAATGTATTTGAACAGGGGCTGTTAAAAAACTTGCTCCTCGCTCTACTATCTGTTTGTTTCATTTCAGTGGATGGTTGGCAAATATTTTTAACAAGATTCGGTCGACAGAATCAAGATCAACAAAACTGAATGCTTTTGCGTTTCAAGATGACAGAGACAATTTTCATAGATATCATTGGTGCTCACAAAATATCCCATTGAGTCAGTGATGATTCGTTCGATGGTCGAATCGCTATCTATAAGACTTCAACGAGTCTTTTTTATGGTTTATTTCTGAGTCTTTTATTGTAATTTGCGGCCTAAATGCTTATTCTCCGTATATAAATACTTAACTGATGATTTTGTTAATGGCATTGACGGCCAGCGGGGACTAAGAAACGAAAAAGTTCTGAATTAGTGGATTCGAATTTATAGTGGTAGCACCAGCGGATTTGGGGGCAAAGTGGTGGAGGGGGGCGACACCCCTCCTCTCAGGGATTCGACCCCCTGCCGACTCAAAGGGTCCCGCCTTTGTATTATTTATTATTTTGAGATATCCATTTTTGGAGAGGGACCCTAAAAATGTTCTAAAGGCGCCGTCGGCGCCAGTATTTTCTAATTTGGAGGGGTAAGCGCGCGCCAAAAAACACATTTTTTTGGACATTTTTTTCTAAAAAGTGTCTAAAAACGCCTTTTTGGCCTACTTATTCAAAATTTTGCTTGCGGCGCAGAAAATTATGTCGAAATAGGGTCTGTACAATGATTTATTAGAGCTCAGAGAAAAGCCTAGATCGGCCCCTGATTGGTAGGGTAGGTTAGGTTATGCCCTTAAATTGAATTGAAAGATCTTTTTGATGAAGCATGATTACAGAACTTTTTTTTGTATGATTTACTCTATGTAAGTTCTTAAAGTGCTACCTGATCGGAGTTCAATTTATTGTTGTTTCATGCTTTATATAATTTTACGTATGATCGTTAAGTATTTTGTATTTACTAACCAATCATATTCCACAACTAATTTTCAAACTAATTGCTGTAAAATTCGCTTTTTTGCAGTCAGTTCACTTTCAAATAGAGTAGAATAAATTTAATGAGAAACTCAAATAGTTTTTGCCAGTGTTTTGTAGGTTGAAATGAGACCTAGGAAATAAAAGTAACAATGGAATCAGTATTAGGCCAATTACTTGCACGAACCTATCTGGCCGAAAGAAGATAGAGTGAAAAACACCTGGTGTACTCTATCTGAAATTACTCTAAAAGATAGCAACCCAGTCGCATCTCATCTGGTGCGACCAGCAATTTCCTGAAGAGCCCTTGAAATTAAAACCAGCTTGTAGAAATCCAAGTCTATTATCTAAACTTTTCATCTAAGCAAATTGTTTAAAAGGTCTCTTAAAGGACTCGTTGGTCGTACCAGATGATACAATCATCGGATTTATTGAGACATAGAAGTTCAAAGTCGATTATGTAAATTAATAATCTGTGGCAATTATTCGGACATTAACATTCGTGAGAAACTTTTTCCTTCCAAAAAAACGAAAGCAGAAAGAAAGATGACAAAAAAAGAAAAATGAATATTAATAAAAAGAAAGACGTATTTTTGAATAACGTTTTTCAAAATAAATCCCTTCAAAGACATAGTTCTCGGCATTAACCCCTTGTATATTGTTGCTTCCTTAGAAAAAATGACTTTTTTCCGGAATGAAGACTTTCATTAGGATTCCATTTTCTATTCAAGCAAAATTGCTACTGCTAGCACTCCTTTTGGTCTATAAATGCTTTTTCGACAGATTCAACTTAGAATTGACACGCATGCTATATTCCATTGAAATTCTACTTGAAAACTAAAAATACTACATACTGGGTTTTTAGTACTTATCATTTTCCAGTTTTACGTTTTTTGCACCGTGTTTATTAACAAGATTAGAACTTAATGCAAAAAATTTTGTCTGGACTTTATAATTTTAAAATCTTATTTAACTAATCTATCCTGCATTCTAGCATCCAGAAATGAGCTTAAGGAATGAAAAGATTCCTAGAATAATATAACTAACCAATTTCATTTTGAATGAACAGCGCCTAATGCTCTTTGATCAGTACTCTTCGAAGACGATTCACTTGTTACCTACCTCTTAATTAAGCCAGGATAAAACCATCTTAAAATTAAAAGATTCAAACTAGCTTCCAAAAGAATAGTTATTCTAAGTGTACATGAACCCTGTGGTTTGATTCTTTATTCTCCAAGTCTACGATCACAAGCTGAAACTAACAAAAGTTATTATGACAAATGTGCTAATATCTACAGTGGACAAGCAAAACTCAAAATTGTGTATTTTTGAAATGATTTTTTTTTTCCCAAACGGATCAACTATTGACCCCGAATAGCAATCTGAGAACATACTTACTCGTTCGAAACCAGTTTGTTCTGCAAACTCATGGTGTCATTCGGTTTTTTCAAACGTCACTTCCAATAAAACAGGCATACTTTTTTGCGAGATGCTTTGCGGCGCTGTATCCGTAAAAAATCTAGTTCAAGAAGGAATTTTGAAATAACATGCCAAATAGATTTATAACGAACCTAAAAGCAAAGCATTTGCAAAACCCGCGTGACTGGGAAAATTTTTTAGGTTCAGAGCCTATGCGACGAGTCGTAGTTGTCATGTCGTCTTCACCGGTCGATGAAAATTACACCCACTTCTATTTTTACAATAAATTTTAGCATCAACACAAATTGTTCGAAAAAAAATTCCATTGAAGGCTGTAGAATAAAGCAAAACCAGTAAGCCTGCCTCGCAAAATTTCAAAAAACCTAATTTCAACCAGGCGGTCGGCGATCCTAATATAAAGCTTGAAATTAGCCAAAACACTTTTATTTGATTTCTGATCCCACGCCAACTCAACAGTGTATCAAAAAAATTTATTTTCATGAAATTGCTAGTGCATCTTTAAGAATTGACCTTAAGTTTTTCCGAGAGACAATAGACCCTATTCAATTGTTCGTTACAAGAGGGCGACAGCCGACAGTCTGAAATGATCCGAATTTCAGGAAAAAATCAATTCTGTAAATCTTTGATTCACCGGTCTGCTTTGCAAAATCACAAATCTGCTTCGCAAAATTTCAAAAGATCCAATAATTTTCAAAAAAGTTTTAGCGCACCTTTGAGAATTGATCTAAAATTTTTCCGAGAGACAGTTGACCCTATTCAATTGTTCGTTACAGGAGGGTGACAGCCGTCAGTCTGAAATGATCCGAACTTCAAGAAAAAATCAGTTCTGTAAATTTTAGATTTATCGGTCGATAAGAAATACACCCACTTCAATTTTTAATATTTAATTATACATCAACAAAATTTTTTTAAAAAGAATTGCCATTTTAGACTAAAGAATCAATCACAACCAATAAGTCTGCCTCGCAAATTTCATAAGATCCAATAGTTTTCATGAAACTGTTAGTGCACCTTTAAGAAATGATCTTAGATTTTTCCGAGAGACAAAAGACCCTATTCAATTGTTCGTTACAGGAGGGCGAGAGCCGACAGTCTGGAATGATCCGAATTTCAGGAAAAAATCAGTTCTGTAAATTTTAGATTTATCGGTCGATGAGAAATACACCCACTTCAATTTTTAAAAATATTTTTTTCTTCAACAAAAATTTTTGAAAAGAATTTCCATTGTAGACTGTAGAATCAATCATAACCAGTAAGTCTGCCTTGCAAAATTTCAAAAGGTCCAATAATTTTTATGAAATTGTTAGTGCAACTTTAAGAATTGACCTTTAGTTTTTCCGAGAGACAGTAGCCCCTATCCAATTGTTTGTTATAGGAGGGCGAGAGCCGACAGTCTGAAATGATCCGAATTTCAGAAAAAAAAATTGTAAATCTTTAATTCTGCAATTGAAGTAATTATGATATATTTTGTTTGCTCCGCAAAATTTCAAAAAATCCACTTTGAATCAGGTGGTCCTAATACAAAGTTTGAAACTACTGAAGCCACTTTTATTTGTTTTTTGATCTCACGTCAACTCAACAGTGTAAAATTGTTAGTGCACTTTTAGGAATTGAGCTTAAAACTTTCAGAGTGACGGTAGACCCTTTTCAATTGTTCGTTACAGGAGGGCGACAGCCGACAGTTTGAAATGATCCGAACTTCAGGAAAAAATCAGTACTGTAAGTCTTTGATTCTGCAATTGAAGTAAGTATAATATAATTTGTTTGCTGATCTGATAGTTAAAGGATTTTATGTACACTAAACGTACCCCAACGGACACAGTTTTTACAGGCAGGCCAAATCAAAATGATGTACAGTGATCTAAGTGCTTGATTCTTCTACAAGTCACCTGGCAGTGTTGCCAGTGACATCGAGTTTTGTGCCATTGACCTGTGGGGATGGGACAAAATGAAAGTACTCAGGTCAATTGAGTTCAAAAATTTTCTCTGCGACGAAATGAGACTACTTTGGCTATGATGAAATTAGGCTGATGAAGTACTGCTTCAGCCATGACGATTTTTTATCCAGTAAAAAGTTCTTGGACTTTCTGCGATAGCAGCAACCTTTTTTATGTTTGTAATGGTCGAATTAGTCTGTACACTGCATACCGCTTTTCGTAATAATCAGACAATGAGAATTCAAACCCTAAATTTTATACAATGAGAATTTATTAAGACCCAAATTTTTCAAACTTATTTGCTAAAAGATAGGTAAATTACGCTCCCCATTTTTGAAGATGCAAATTTCGCAAAAAAACCTGAAAATTTTTTAGTTGAGCAATTAGACCCTGCGGAATAAAAAAAAAGTTCAAATAGACCGTTGTTTCTTAAAACTGTTCAAACAGACTGATTTTATTGTTTATTAAAACTGTGCAAACTGACTGACTTCACCGGTTTTTGCTTTTGAGTTTATGAATTTGGAGACATCATGCGCTGTGAAAGTGACTCAATTTATGCCCGGCTATTATGTATTTGCCATGAATACTAATTCTGTGAAACATTTCATATCAGTTTTCACAACCGGTAACACCATTGATGCAACTTCATTCTTTCAAAGAGAAAGAATTTTATTTGCACAATGAAAGTATACGATCAGCGGTGCCAAAAATGTCAAATTTTGTCTTCTTTGATTTAAATGTTCTCTTGAATGTACTCTCGTCAAGATCATTACAGTATCTTGCAGTATTGATTTAGCAGTAAATATGTCCTTTTGTAAAAAAAAAGTTTCATCAAAATTCGGTTATGACCAACGTGCTTTCAGCGGCTTTTTGTCATAATTTGCTGTTCCGTCTAGTTTGCATTTCGGTTTTCCTTTCCACTTGTCGTACTAATCATTTGCGGACTGTTGAAAAAAAAACAATTCAGGCATCTCATTTCGAAGACTTGCAGTTGCTTTAGGAACGCTTTGTACGTAACCCAAGCTTTGCATCGCTATAGAAGTATGAAAATCAAACTAGCGCATAAGTCTTTTATGTTTTTACGTCAGGCTTCCATAGACGCATCATAATGCACCAATGTTCAATGGTACCTTTTGTTGTCAATGTCCTTTTTTTTGAGGAGATTAGATATATAAAAATTATATTATTAACAAGTGGAACCCGATCTAAACTACATTTTATTATTGGATATTAATTAGATATTTTATCACTATAAAATATTTAATATTAACCAATCATAATCCATCTAACTAACAACCCACTTATTTGTAAGTGCTGAATTTACTTGTAATTTCAGCACCAGAGAGATTTGAATTTAACTTAGAAATTAGTTACCTCTTCAAGAGATTTTCAGCAGCCGCAATAAAACCAGTATACTCTAGATCTATTGAGCCTAGCAGAGACTAGTTAAACACCCTGAGACTAGTAGATATAAGAGTAAGATTAGGATCGGTATTAGACTAGGAAGTTGCACGAATCTATCCGGCCGAAAATAAGATAGCGTGACGAGCAGACGGTGTACCCTATCCAAAATTACTCTATGAATTATACACCTCATATAACTCATCTGGTGCGACCATAAGTCTCGAATAAAGACCTTAAAAAACAAGATAGCTTAGGATTAACCAAAAATAGATTAGAAGATAGACAAAACATTTTAAAAATGTTACACGACAATAACTTAATTGAATTGTCTCTACGACTCAATAGATCAGAGCCGCTATTCCGCACAATACGAGAACTACCCGGTATTGGAAAAAGACCTCGGACAAGAGTCGACATACGACTACATAGAAACTTATAATTTAGTTTCAGGGTCGTACGGCAAAAGCCAACACAATCTTTTATAATTAGAATCTTATTAGCAATGATTTTAGATTTTCA